TCTCAAAAGCAATTGCAATAAAAATGGCCATATTTTTTCCATGTCCCATTTGTTCTGAGAAATTGAGCAAACCAGACATGCTCACCCTGCACGTAAAGTGCGTCCATGGGTCAACTCACGGCAGATTTTATTGTCTGTATTCGGCGTGTCCCTCGTCTTTTAGCTCTATTTATAGTTATATCTCTCATGTACAAAAAATACATACATCGATCACAGAATCCATAAATATCGAGTCTTCCTCATCTTGTGATGAAACGAATCCAAGGAAAAAACAACGACTAGATGAAAACTATGAGACCCCTCAATTTCCTGATATCACCATTGATCCACAGATCACTGTGGAACCCATTTCACTATTAAATGGAGAATCAGTTTTAGGAAAATTCCAATCAAGTTTCCCGGGAGACCATCAAGTTCCTTTAAATTCACCCATGACTGTCGAGACGAACGTAGCCGGGTCGTCTTCAAGCGATCAAACTTCACTCAGTATTTTTTTACATGACTTAGAAAAAAAGCATACTCACGCTGCTGCCACTTTGGCATCGAAATTGTATGCTGACAACTCATTAAATTGAACAAAAACTCAGGAAATTTTAAATATCATCAACGAATATCAAGCAGATACAATTCAAACAATTCGTGAAACTCACCATCAATCTAACTGTTCTGACCCGGAACCGGGTTTTTGAGTCGGTAAGAGTGCCCGGCGCGTATCTGGGAGACCCGGGTTCGATTCCCGGCTGGGTGAAGCGGAAATTTTTTCTCTCTAAATTCTAATTCTCTTAGAATTTTTTTTTTTTTTTGAAAATGAATATGACACTCGATGTTCTCCAAAACTCCTTAACTAATTTCCGTACTGAGTACAAATCCTTCGAGTATTTAAAGAATAATGGTTATCTTATCTAGCCCGAAACAATTGTAATCGAGTCATTATCATCTCCTCAAGCAGTAGAAGTAACCCCCGCAGTGGTGAAAAAATCCACAATTGAATTTATTTCTATGAAATCAGTGTTGAAGAAATTTTCAGAGATTCCCAAAGTCTATTACTCGATTATGAGACTGATGAATCAAACCGACACCCCCGATGATGTAACTTCGTCAATGCTGCAGGGCGATGTGTGGAAACAAATAAAAATTAAGTTCGGAGACAGAAATGTCATCCCATGAATCTCTTTTCCGACGCGAATGAGTCGAATAATCCATTGGGAAGTCACCGCGGACTGAAGAAGCTGAACGGAGTTTATTATTCCATAAGTTGTCTGCCGCCCGAGTTCGCGAGTCAATTAGAAAATTTATTCTTAGCACAGATACACCGGAAAAAGATTATGAATATTTCGGAAATAAAGTTATGTTTGCTTGTTTGATAAAAGAGTTAGATGATTTGGCAAGAGATGGGATCGTTGTTAAGATTGATGGTCAAAAGGAGACAGTTCACTTCGCGGTAGCCAGGATCTTGGGGGATAATTTAGGACTCCATGCACTCCTAGGGTTTCAGAAGAGTTTTAGTGCAACTTATTTCTGCAGAATTTGTGAAGCCACAAAGACAATGACCGAAACACAAGTTACTGCGAAGAAAACGTTGCGGCGTACGAAGCAAAAATATCAAAAAGACGTTTCGGGCCTTACTCGTGGTGTTAAAGAAGAGTGCGTTTTCAATTCCGTGATAGGTCATATTTGTGATGTACCAACGGTTGATCCTACTCATGATATCAATGAAAGGAGTGCCCGATATGAAATCGGGCAGATTCTGTATTATTTTATTGTTGTGGAGAAATTGTTCACTGTCAAACAGTTGCATAACCGATTATCGGGAATAAACGTAGGTCTCCAACCAAGAACCAACCTTCCTCCTCGCTTTTCTAGAAAACAAGTACGAGGTAAAATAATTAAGATTACAGCATCCGAGGTGGCCTTCCTCATTTTACATCTAGGTGTACTTGTAGGGGATTTAGTACCCGAGAGTCACAAAGTATGGAGGTTGTATAAAATGTTGAGGCAAATTTATTGTTCAGTTGTGACCCCAAGTTTCACTGAAAAATCCTCCAAGTCCTTGAAAAATCTCATAACTAGACATCACAAACTCTCTACATTGAATTATTTGGGAAATTAAAACCGAAACACCACTTTTTGTTGCATTACGTTTTAGCTATGAAGAAATTAGGTCCGTTACGTTACGTCACGACAATCAGTTATGAAGGTAAACATAAGGAGTTCAAACACACAGCTAACATCGTAACTTCTCGTATAAACCCAGCCCATACACTTGCTCAAAAACATCAGCTTCAATTAGCATATCGATTTTATTTGAATAAACCAATGGAAAACCTGAGAACATTTGGTAAACAATACAACCACTGTTTGATACTTCTGGAGAATGTCGAATTGTTCAGAGATGCTCTGCCTGAGGAAATAGTAGATGAGATTCAGTTGTTATCATGGATTAAGTACAATGGTACATTGTACAAAGAGGACATAGCAGCATGCATAGGATCCAATAACTCGCTTCCATCTTTCGGGAAGATAAAATATATCTTTGAATCCGATGATAAGATTTATTTTGTACTTCGTGGGTTGAAAACTGTCAAAATGATTAAACACATTCAAGCATATGAAGTAAAATTGACTGATGATTTTCACGTGATAACGAAAACAGATTTCACTAGTCATATTGCTCACGATATTTTCGTTCTATCCTGTGGAACATCTGTTATTTCGTCCATTTGATTATTGCATACTTATGTAAAACGTTTTCCAAAAAAGTACTGTCTATTAATATGATATGAATAATCATAAGTTTCATAAATAATCTTAGTTCTTCATAGAATGATCTCAAGGAGAGTCAAATGAGAAAAAATTTCACATTTCAGAAACGAAAAAACAAGTAACCGAATTTGTGAAATTCAATACTAAATTGTCGGTTACACCATGTAGTTGTAAGCCTCCTTTCTTTTATATCTCTTTGTATTGCCATTATTCGATAAAAAGGAATCGATAAGTTACAAAATCATAAGAATTTAAAGTATGTAAAATGAAACTGTTTCATGAATAAAATTAATAAAAAAAACTATTTCATTGTATTCCATTTCCATTCATTATGAATCGATATAAGATAAATTGAATCATCGTTTGTATCCCTACAGGTATGTAATCTATTCAACTAATAGAATGTGTTATTAGCTTAAGGCGGATAATTTTTAGAGCAGAGTGTGCAGAGGAATTGAATGAATTGATCGAGTATTTAGATTCAAAAGTGCAGTACCGTCATCACAGCACACTAAAGATATTCAACGAAAAAAAAAATTCTTCATCTATTAGATTAATGGTTTGGTATAATTCGGAATAGCTTTTATCAAGGAGATGAAAATTTTCCCGCACTCATATCGAGTTTCAAAGCTATTTGCAATATTTTCAGACGATTATTTTAACGATTGAAGTTCTCATAGTTTCTTTTCATCAAAAAACTCACATTCAATTATCAAACAGATAGGGCATAAGAGCAATCGAATTCTATTTGGAATCTAATGTATAACAAATTGGGTTCAGTGTGCTAAGAGTCGATTCAAATGGGAATTGCATGAATCATTATACAATCTCGATGGAACCCGGTCTATATCGGATGTGACCGAGAACGGGGAGCTTCGCATCCATCTTTTATTAATTTTATAAGAGAAATATTGAAGATTAGTTGGCACTAATCCTTTATGTTTTTGAATATTATTGAAAATTTTTCCCTCTCATCCAATTAGTCATTAGTTTCCACTACTTTCATATTCAACATAAAAATTCCCAACAATAGATTTCACTCGAGATTGCATTGATGCAAAAATCATTTCGATTACAGCATGGATCTCTTTCATCATTCAACAGGAGTGATAGTTATTTGCAAGAACAATGCTAATCCATGTAATGATTCATCTACTTCGATGATATGAATATCACTTCACCCGGATCGAGAAATCGTTGACGATGAAAAAAAAAGTTTTTGAATGGATTTTATTTATTTTTAATTCAAAACTTCAGCGTCAAATCGATATCTTTGTGTTGCAATGCATTTTTTTTCGCGACTATTCAAGCCGATCAGTTACTCCGATCAATCGCATAATTTCTATCTGGTAGAAATTTTTCCTCTCAGTGTACTGGGTTCTAATGTTGAAAAATGATCAATGAGATGGTCAATGAGTTAATGATCTTAGTGTTCATTCACTCACTGTATCTTTGATAAGCTTCTTCGTGCCTGGATGTTTCAGCATTCTGGGCTGATGCTGCTGGAATGTGTCGGACTGGAAGAGGACTCATCGACCGTGGGCTTACTCCATGAATGAGTGGTTGATGATTCCTATTGCACTTGTGACACTTCTTGTCTGACGTGCACTTTGCCTTGTTGTGTGGTGCCAAGCAGTTAAAATACAATCCCTTGGCAACCACAACATCATTCCTCTTCAGTGGTGTGAGATCGATGAAGTTCTGACAGGATGCGATGAAATGCTTTTCTTGGCAAGAGACACGGCAATTCTTATCATCTTGTGGTTGAATTGCTGTCGTGTAAGAGTTCTTCTTCTTTGATGATGATGGTTTCTTAGTGGCTGTGTTGATGTCCTTCGTTGTTGAGTGAAACTTTGCACCTGCGTTGAGTCCTCTGCCACAGGTCTCGATGAATGCCACGAACTCCTTAAGACTAGGGAAGTCCTTTGAGTCTCCTAGTTTCAGTTCCCATTGCCTGAGTGTGTCTGCATCCAGTAATATCCAATTAATCCCATCACATCTTGTAGGTGGTTTAGAGTCTCCAAAGCTGCTGCCCAATTGGCGCTAAGGTTCTCTGCTGTTGCATGAGGGAGACATTCGACCAGGTTGGTATGAATGATGAAGTTATTGATAAGTTACCGACTGTTGAGGTACTGTTAATGGTCGATAAATTATCGACTACCATAAGTTCGAGGTAAGATAATTAAGGGTGGATGTGGGAGGTGTGGGTTGATAGGCTGGAAATGAAAATTTTACACTGATTATAAAAAGTCACAATTTATTCGTGAGATCAAACCCCACCGTTAAGTTATTAAATACACCCTTTGGCAAATGATTTCACTGTTGATAGGCATTTTTCACTGATAATTATATTCGATAATTGTCTTGTTGATTCGCTGAATTTAATTTAATTTTGACAAAAAATAGTGATGGACTGAACAAAGAAATAGAAATTAATATGCTTTGAATGCTATTGTCTCTACTATGCCATGCCTGATATACTACTGGCTCTTTCCTCGGTTGACCCGAAGGGTCACGGAGATTTTCGGAGTTAGTCGACCGGAAATTGCTGGAGACTTAGCTTCGTTTCAAACAAACCTTTTTGTAGCTCTCAATTCGCTCAAAATCGACTTAAACCGTTTGATCGCTTCGCTACAGAGTTATATTCTATTATATATGTATATATCAGAAAAAAGTTTTAAACTCAAATCGCTGGGTTGGTAAGTGGACGCGCTGCCACTCGGCTAAAGTGTTATTTCGAAAACTATACGTTACAAACTTATACATATGTTATGCCCGAATCTGTTAGACAAACTTTTTCGTTTATTTTTGGGCATTTGCCCCTAGGTCTATCATGGGGACACCACTACTGACACCCTTCAAATACATGAAGACTGGATGCTGTCAGTGTCCGACATCATCCGACTTCTTTTTGTCAGTTTTTCACACAAGAAATCCAAAATATAGAAATTGTATCTATAGAATTCATCAGTTCAAGTCCGATATAAAAGTATAGGTGTCTCTTACAGTTCATACTAATTATAACATCACACAGTCGATTACTCTTATCACAAATTTTAGTAATATCACCGCAATATTTTTTTTTGTTATACTCAACAACTCAACTGGAGTATATTCATATTCCTTCAAGATCTGATATGAGCTACGATACGTTACAGATTTCCAATGATTTCGAAAGGTTTCTACTCTCGATTTAAGGATTTTTACACATATTCATATTACTTCAAGGTCTCATATGAGCTACGATACGTTACTGACTTCCAATAATTTTGGAAGTTTTCTGCTCTCGATTTAAGGATATTTACACCCACAACGAGCAAATCTCGTTAAAGCAAGTTTAAAAAAAAAAAAAAGGTAAATAATACGGAAATATATATTTCATCGCACTGTCCGTGAAACGATATTTTATGGGCACGTCGTGTTTAATAATCTTGTAAACTGTCGAGAATCATCCTGGTTCCCCTCCTACCTAGTTCAAAATTTTATCCAACAATATCTTGTAATATCAAAATATGCGTAACGCTATATCAACGGTTTAGTAAAAACTAGTGACCTCCATTAGATTCGTCACTAGGTCGAAGAAAATGTTCTGACTTATGTGATTGCAATCCTCAGTTTCGCCTCGGTTTGCACCCCTCACACTGATCCAAAATAGTATTTTTCCGGCCTTGCGACGAAAAGAAATGCATTTCTCCAGTACGGGTGGTCATGAATCGTATTCACGTTCCATAATACGCTGACTCATTTCATAATATGATAGAATGATCATATTATGAAACATCGAGATAAAATGACGTACGATTGGATAATGACAGTATCTATTTCATACCGTTACAGTTCAATCCCTCACGTAGTTGACGAATAAACAGCGTTAAAATGGTCAAATACCAGTGAAAAATGTAGTTTCTGAACATTTTGAACATCGTTCGATGTACACTTCACACCGTTTTCATGAACTTTAACACCAAACTTCATACAAAGAAATCATTTGTTGAGAAAGCTCATTTATTTTATTTTCTTCAAATGAAATCTATTTACAATGGAAATAATTTGGATATCAAGGAACAATATAATTATCCAAATATTTTGCAGCTATATTCCACATGATTCAAGGAATTTTAATTGCATGAACCGTCTAGCCAACCATCTTTCCACCTCTGATTGACAAGTTTGCAATCAAAAATCGGTTTGCCCACTTTCTTGTTCACCTCGTTGTGGATCGTGCAGAGCCATTGGCTCAGGTCAATCTGAGAGGTGGTTTCAGGTGGTCTTATCTCTAATTGTTTTCTTAAATCCTCTGCACATGTGCTGCAAGGGTAAAATTTTGAGAAGACATCGAAGAATATTCTCATGTCATTGCTTTGTTCTTGGGTCGGCTTTTCCGGAAAGTAGGCTGCCATCGTATGCAGGAAGGACCACGTGACTGTTCCCAACTCATCTTTGTCGAGTGGACAACTCCGCTGCTTACGTTCTGTCGCTGCCACGGCTGCGTTGTTGTCCACTGTTTCTTTCCGATCATTTTCATCTTGCTGAAATGCATAATAAATATGAGGATTCTTCATAGCCAGATATAGTATATTACGCAACAAGTGCGTAATGGGTTTTTTGGCTCGTGGGAAGTTGTAAAACGAGCCGAAGGCGAGTTTTACAATCCCACGAGTCAAAAAACACCATAACGCACGAGTTTCGTATACTATTTTATGTCATAGGGCCCAGAATCCGCGATTCTACCGAGCGAAGCGAGGTTAGAATCGCGTGATTCTGGGCACCTATGACATAAATGATATTACTCAATTTCATTCCGTAAATCAGACAGAATGTTCAAGAAAAAATCAGTTTTCCGCTCAGATCATGATTTTATGTAATACGTTTTAGACATTTTTCCGATGTCTATTTAGCATCTAAGTCATATCACCAGTTCCATGCCCTATAGTAGTTTCATTCGATATGCTCCAATATTTCAAGTGTAATAAGAAAGCCCAAGCATGACACTGAAGCCAATCACGATATCTAGCTCCGGTGGCCAGCAAATTTCGACCCGAGTGAAATTGACTGCAAATAGATGATTTTGAGACCAGACCTGTCATGCAAGATCAGGATTGTGTCATTTACTGGAAATTGAGCTCTCCTATGGCACATATCAGAATAATGGTAAAAGCAAACTGGTGTGCGACCCGATATTATAGAAGATATAGGTTTCAATAGCTGAACGAACAAGACAGTCGAATACGTCTATGCGGACGGTATAGAAAAATCTATGGCGTTTTATCTACTACGCAGGGAAAGATAATTAAAGAATTATTGGGAGTATTATATTAAACTATATTTCTGATTAGGTATAGTACTGGAGACGTAGAAAAGCGATGTCACGTCAAATTAGCAGTCGAAAAAAATCGATGTCTCTAACTATGTTCGTAATTTTTCATGGATTCTATATCATGAGATAAGGTTTCAGTTAAAATTTCAGTCCGAAATGAAATTTTTTTCTACCAGTTATGATTTTTTTATTTTGCGTTTTTTTTCACCCGTAAAAAAACGTTATTATTTACTTTGATAGCTGTGGGAGGTTTATGCATTCCAAAATATGGTTTTGAGCGACTCATAGCATACTGAAAATCCTTCAAAATGAGCCCAAACAAGTCTATTCGATCCGTAATCTAATGCAAGTCCCAAATGTTATTTCACTCAAAGTCGGAATTTGGTCAATTCCAGCAGTGATATAAGTGTCGAGAAATGTTCTAATAATTACAACTCCATTGAGCCCAAATCTGCCAATTCATATCAAGAAATCTAACCAGTGTCAATTTGAAAGAGGTCAAATTGATTTTTCCTTATAAAACAAAATCTTGTTTTGAAACCTCAAATAATCAATTGATAATTAACAATCATATATAATCATGTGTCAAAATTCATATATGTGTAAATTTATACACCCGAAATCATTTCAAAAAATTAATAATCAATTTTGCTGGATGGTTCTCGATACAGTTTCTGACATTACCATTGTCACCCCTCGACTTTTTTCTAATAATTGGGATTCATTGAAAACTCCTCATAAAAATTATTCCATTTTTACAACTAATGGTTCGAATTTGGATCATATGGGTGGTGAAAAGATTCTCCAATTTTCAATACCTAATTAATTGATACTTCCTTCACAAATATTAAAATTGATTGTATTTGTTTCGACGAGAATTAAAAATTCGAGAAAGAGCTGGGATTTGGGGAAAGGGTAAAGAAGTGCACAAAAAAAATGAGCACTGTACGCATGGGTGATATTACAATAAAAACGGTATATTTTCAGTCAAAACAATTCAGCCAAGCAGTAAAAAAAAATTGCATCCTAATCACCAATCACTAATCGTCAATAATTATTCTGAGATTGGTTGGACATTTTTCACAGGGGAGAATAATTAATGATTTAATCGTATAAATAGAACACACGTTGTGCATTTCTCGTTATGCGATTAGAGAAGACGAGAGATTTGACAAATGTCGCGACAGGTGTCCTCTATGCAAATTACACGGTTCTACAACATATGGGCTCATTCGTTCTCAAGGATGGAACCAACTTTATCTGATAGATTTTTCTGCGCCGATTTTAAATGCTCTTTTCAAAAATTTTCCTAACAGGTGCAATTTTTGATAAAAAAAAATGTTAAATTGTCTAAAAACTGCCAAAACGAACATTTGGAGAAATTCATTAAAAAATGAGTTCGGACGTAATTTAAGACAGAAAAAATCACAATTAAACGAAAATTGGATCTGTTCAATGAATGTGACTTCATCTTATTTGATTGAATGAAACCCACTAAATAAAATTCTGAAAAAGGTGAATTTTCATCATTTTTTTGGAAAATTAAACTACCGGAAGTTGGCTGTGAGTATCCTCACCCACGCCAACTTCAAATCAATCTACCCACGTGTCTTAACCTCCCCTAGATTTTAATTATAATTTGAAAATCTCGTTTCTCGGAAAGGAATTGTTAATTGCCCTGCATTTTTAAATTAAATCCCATGGACGTGGAAGAATCGAGACGATTCGTTGCCCTCGTGGACGCTGAGCCTAATCTATGGAGAAACGGAATCTCGAGGTATAGCAATGCTAATAAATTAATTTGGCGCAGAATTGGTGAGCAGTTGAATCCTCCGAGCTTAGGTATTATCTTGTTGAGTGTAATATGAGGGTCAATCTTAGAAAGTCAATCAAATTAATGATATGTCCTGCCCCGGCAGGGTATTTGACCTTCTACAGGTTCCTCGAATTGCGAGATCGCCAACGCGAAGAACGACGAATGAATCTCAACGCAGGATTCATCCTTGAGAATGAGTTGATGTTTTTCGATGATGAAACCTGCTCATTCACATCTTCCCTAGCTTCCCTCCCCCCGCATCAAGCCCTCCATCAAACCCTTCAACAAGTCTCCTGCCAAGTCCAGAGCCGATTTCCCCTCCAAATCCTCCAAACCTTGATGAAGTGGTCGTGGTTGAGCCAGAGCAAGACGAAAAAATTTGAGTTCTAATTGAATTGTAATTTTCCTAATTGTTTCGTTTCGATAAGAAATTATTTCATTTGGAAGTTGTTTTTTTATTATTGAAATAATTTAAACAATAAGGAAACAAATCAAGCGTTTTTATGTACATTTCTCTAATTTCTTCAATCACTTTTAATAGAAAATGTCTTCTTACCGTTTAGAAACAAAATCATAATAAGATAAACGAAATATTCACAGATATTTACAAGGTATTCATGAACATTTCCAAAATTTATAAATATCTACAAAATGTATATTTAAAAAATTTACAAATATTCACAAAATATTCACACTTGAAAGTCTCACTTAAAAACTTAGATTTTTTCGAGAGGCTTTCCCCTTGTGAGGAGCATCACTCGAATCAAATAAACCCCCAAAGTAATCCGAAAGCTGGGGAAAATGAGTTGAACAAGAATTCCAGTTTTTAAAGACAAGATTCCGGGCTTCCTCAGCACGTCTTGGGTCTTTTCTCGTTCTGGGCATTCTGAAATGAGAACCTTGGACATTTTCTTTTGTGGGTGGCATCATCGTCACTCATCAAAGTCCAACAATAGTCGGAGAGCATGTGCAGATCTGATTTTCCCTTGTATCGTTTTTCCATCCTGGCGATGTCCTGATGGAATCGTTCATCATGTTCTTCGCTAGTGCTGACTAAATCTTCAGGGAAAAAATCTAGATGAGAGTCCATCAAGTGGATTTTGAGTGACATGTTAACGCCCATCTCCTTGAAATTAGCAAGCATGTCTTTCACGAGTTCCTTATAGTTAGGAGACCTTCTTCAGGGAAAACCAGGTTTTTTCTTCAACATCATTGAGCGTTTCAATGAAGTCGGTATCATGTTTAATCAGCTTCCGGATCTGGGGACCGAAAACGCCTTCTTTAATCTTCGCCATACTCAGCCCTGGGAAGAATTCTTTCAAATAAGCAAAAGCCTTTCCATCCTTCTGCAGGTTCTTGATAAAATTCTTCACCAGTCCCAGGGTGGACTAGTGGATCAGTTAGAACATTTCTTTTTCCAGGTGTGAGGCTGTCACGAATCGGCCATTCTTTGCGGGTGTAATGAGCAGCGCGATCTCGACTATACCATTCACACAAGAACCAGCTGTATTTCCTGAATCCCAGCTGTAGGCCGAGAAGAAGATTTATCATCTTAAGATCACCGCCAATTAGCCATTGGTAACAATCGTATCCAATTTTCTCGAGCACATCCTTAATCGTATCGTGCTTCCAATGTACATACATACTTCAGATAATTGTTTCCAATATACAACAAGACGGCTTTCAGACTGCTAGTTGAAGCATCCATGAATAAACGCCATTCATCTGGCTGATGCTTGATGCCCATGCGCTCCATAAGCCCATCGATGTTAGAAGCATAAGTAATACTTGCATCTTCAGTGAAAAATTGACGAAAATCGTGATCTCTAGATCGAAAACTGGAGCCATGGACTCCGGGAAGCAGGAGCTTACGCTCATTCAATCTAGATGCTAGCAATTCTGCTCCAAATTTACTTAGATCGAGATCTCTTACCAAGTCATTCAGTGCACCTTGGGTGAACAGATTGGGATCGATGGGTTTGGGAAATTTGGTATCATTTTGGTAATCAGGGTCAAACTCTCCAAAATCTTCAGGTTCAGTATCAGGCTCCCCAGTCATGTGTTTCGGTCTTGAATGTTCTAGCAATACATCACGTTTTTTTATAGATCCAAAGGATGGAAAATCCATTGAAGTCATTGTGGGATACTTCAACTTATCTTTATTTTCAGTAGAAAAGCCTCTCACGTCCATTAAACAAAAAAAGCAATCATTAGAATGATTGGTAGACCTCTCTCCATATTGCTGGAACATTGAAGAGCATTTTGAATGTGCCTCCCTTTCCAGGTTGCAGATATCGTTGGCAGTTATTGTAAATCGTGTGAGGGACCCATGATTTTTCCAGATTCTTCATAGGTTGTTGGAAGCACTTAGAGAATTGTGTTTTTATTGATATAGT